TTCCTCTGGCAACTCGTTCCATATATGCACTACCCTGTGTGTGAAAAAGTTGCCCCTCAGGACCCTTTTAAGTCTTTTTCCTGTCAACTTAAACCTATGCTCCCTAGCTTTGGGAACTCCCCTAGCCTGGGGAAAAGACCTTGTCTATGCCACTCATGATTTTGTAAATCTCTATGATGTCTCCTGTGCCTCAGCCTCCTGTGCTCCAGGGAAAAAGTCCCAGCCAATCCAGCCTCTCCTTATAACTCAAACCTGCCAGTCTTGGTTACATCCTTGTAAATCATTTTTGCATCCTTTCCAGTTTAATAGCATTCTTCCTCTGGCAGGGTTACCAGAATTGTAAACAGTAATCCAAATGTAGCCTTACCAATGTCTTGTAAAGCCGTAACATAACATCCCAACTCCTGTATTCAATTTCTTTCTTACCTGTGTGGCTGTTATTTTCCTCTCTGCATTCCAGTTTCCTCCTTCCATTCCCCAGGATCCTTCCAGTATTCCCAACAACCACATCTTTCAAGTTCCAATGTTTATCATTCCTTGCTATATAATCCACCTTTCTCTGAAACTTTTGAGTTGAGCCCTAGTTAGCTATGCTGCCATTAGCCAGTGTGCCTGTCTTGCTTGGGCATGTTTGTTGAACTGACATAGCTTTATTGTAAACATTTAAGAGCTACAAGCAAGGATGCATATGACTGTGACTTCCCATGAACTGGTTGACATGTTGCATTTTCACCATTTGCTCAAAGAAACAGCTTGGTTATGAAGCAGCTAACTTACTAAAGAAATCTGTACTCAATCTTGGAGCAAGAAGTCAGGTTTATGCGAGATATGTACAGGTGTGTTTGCAAATATGTTTATTTTCCATTTTTGCTTAAGATGATTGCACCTGTGAAAATAATACCAGTGGGCTGCGGTGTTAATGAGTATTCAGGAGAGCTCATGAGTAAAAAGAGGTTCCCAATGAATAAGTTTGGTAAAACTGGCCTGCCTATAAGGTTGTGAGAACAGAAAATTTTAACCCATTGCTGGCAAACTGAAATTTTGTTTTCTGTCCAATTAAGTTCCCCTGTCTGCTAAAACCTTTGTGTGGCCTAGAAGATTCTTCCCATCACATGAACAGGTAACCAAGTCCCCTGTTCTCCCTGTAACAATGCAGCAATATTCCCTTTCAAGCCCAGAAAATTGCCATAATACTTCCAATAACTCCCCTCAGTCCTTCCGGAAATCTTTCAATAGCATAAATTAGGCCAAATCACCAAGCTGTATGCCTGGTCCTATAGATAACACAACTACTGGGTCTCTCTTGCAGCTCTAAGAATTTACTTTGATGAGTGACAAGTGAATCCATCTACAGGTATGATGCTCTAAGTTTGTAAATCATCTGTTAAATCAGCTATGACTACTTAATGTCACAATCTGGCCAGTTGGGAAGCTTTTGGTACACCCACTAAACTTCTGGTCATCTTGAATGCACGTGGGTTGCATTCGAAATAGAGGTGCTGCATGCTTCACTTGGGAAAGCATCTAACTTCCACAGCACTGGTTTCAGTAGTGCCTTAGAGCCCAATTTTGAACTCAAAAAAGCTGTATAACTGACCACTGCATTTGAATTTTAATCAGTAATTGTTTTAGCAGGTTAGAGGCTAGGAATTCTAAGCTAAGTAATTGACCACCTAACTTTACAAAGTCTGCTTACCATCTACAAGTCAGGTATTTAAAGAATAGTTTCCTTTTGACTGTATGAATGTGACTCGAACAACACTTGAGAAGCTCAACATGGTTCAAGACAGAACCGGCCCCACTTGATCAGCACTCAATCCAAATTTAATTCAGGCCCTCTGACACTGATACACAAAGGTGGAAATGTTTACTATACAACATGATGCATCATAGCACAAATAGTTAAATCTGTATTATACTAACTTCACAATCTGTCTGGAATTGGAGAAGTTTATCAATTTTGTTTCCAATTTCCACTTCAGTCTCACCTTCGCCTGGTGCATCTCTGATTCCTCTTTTCCCTTCCTTGACATCTCTGTTTCCATTTCTGGGGATAGGCTGGCCACCAACATCCACTATAAACCTGACTCCCACAGTTACCTTGACTATACGTCCTTGCACCCGCTTCCTGTAAAGCCTCCATTCTATTCTCTCAATTCCTCCATCTCCTGCGCATTTGTTCTGATGATGCCAATTTCGACAAGGGAACCTCTGAAACGTCCACCTTCTTCCTCAACTGAGAATTCCTCAGCAAGGCTCAACCCATCTCCCACACTTCAGCCCTTAACCCTCTTTTCTGTTCCTCAATAGCAGTAGTATTCCCTTTGTCCTTACCTACCATCCCACCAGCATCCACATCCAGAAGATCATTAACTGCCACCTCCAGCAAGATGCCACTACCAGACACATATTCCCTCCCCTACTTTGTCAGCCTTCCAAAGGGACTGTTCCCTTCGGGACACCCTAGTCCACTCTGCCTTTACTCCCAACACCTCCCCCCAGCCTCATGGCACCTTCCACTGCAACTGCAGAACGTGTAACACCTGTCCATTTACTTCCTCCCTCCTCAGTATCCAAAGGCCCAAACACACCTTCGAGTTGAAGCAGCGCTTTACCTGCACTTAACACAATTTAGTCTGCATTCACTGCTCACAATATGGTCTCCTCTACATTGGGGAAATGAGGTGTAGACTGGGTGACCGCTTTACAGAACACTTGTGTCCTGTTCGCAAAAAAAGACCCATGTGCATAGATCACTGAAAGTTGCCACCTAGGTTGATAGCGTTGTTAAGAAGGCGTATGTTAGGTTTTATTGGTAGAGGGATTGAGTTTCGGAGCCATGAGGTCATGTACGGCCGCACTTGGAGTATTGCGTACAGTTCTGGTCACCGCATTATAGGAAGGATGTGGAAGCATTGGAAAGGGTGCAGAGGAGATTTACCAGGATGTTGCCTGGTATGGAGGGAAGGTCTTATGAGGAAAGGCTGAGGGTCTTGAGGCTGTTTTCGTTAGAGAGAAGAAGGTTAAGAGGTGACTTGATAGAGACATACAAGATGATCAGAGGATTAGATAGGGTGGACAGTGGGAGCCTTTTTCCTCGGATGCTGATGGCTAGCACGAGGGGATATAGCTTTAAATTGAGGGGTGATAGATATAGGACAGATGTCAGAGGTAGGTTCTTTACTCAGAGAGTAGTAAGGGCGTGGAATGCCCTGCCTGCAAAAATAGTAGACTCGCCAACTTTAAGGGCATTTAAATGGTCATTGGATAAACATATGGATGATAATGGAATAGTTTAGGTTAGATGGGCTTCAGATTGGTTTCACAGGTCGGCGCAACATTGAGGGCCGAAGGGCCTGTACTGCGCTGTAATGTTCTATGTTCTATGAACTTCCAGTTGCCTGCCACTTCAACACACCGCCCTGCTCTCTGGCCAACATCTCTGTCTCAGGCTTACTGCAATGCTCCAGCAAAGTTAAATGAAAGCTGAAAGGACAGCACCTCATTTTCAGCTTGGAGACCCTGCAGCGTTCCAGACTCCATATTGAGTTCAATAACTTTAGGACACGAGCTCTCCAGTGTCCTTGCACTAACCCCCCCACACTCCAGGCCTTGTCATCATATAGTCTGCTATTACACACCACCCATTGTTAGCCAGTATCAGTCCCCATTTATAGCTATTCACTCTCACAGCCAGATCATTATCCACTTTGTCTGTCCAACTGCTCTTCTCTCTCTTTGGACTCTATTCCCACATATCGTTTATTCCTTATTCCCTTCCCCCACACTATCTTCTGCATATAAACCAACATTTGCCTAGCGACCATCACTTCTGAGGAAGGGTCACTTGACCCGAAACATTAACTCTGGTTTCTGTCCACAGATGCTGCCAGGCCTGCTGAGTTTTTCCAGCAATTTTTATTTTTGTCTCACAATCTGTCTATTCTACACACTCCAGTGTCCATGTTAATAATAAATGTTTATACAGGTCGGACACAATTTTGCACCCAAAATAGCAACTCTTAGTGTTGAAAATACAAGTATTACACACTAGAATTTTGATGCCCTTTTTAAATTAAACTTTGTGAAAGAATTAGATTGGGTTGAGGATAACTTATATAATAAAAAAAAACACAGAATTACATTGTTCAGCAATAAATATAATGGAAAACATGTAATGACTACAGTAGTTATACTTATCTTGTTCTCTCAATGGCAATAGAACTTGTTCACAAACAATTTAGTGTTAGTTGTATATTGTACATAATTGTTTACAGGCAGTGGATAGTAACTGTCGTCATTTCATTTGAGTCCGGGTAAATAGACATAGATTAAAAATAATCTTTGTTGGGTTAGAAGTTGCATCTTAACGTGCAATTCTGTAAGTGTATAAAGACTGGTTTCACTTCTTTCCTTTGCCAGCTGGCTTTCTGGAATAACACCTGCAGTATGGCAATTTTAGCCTAATCTACCAAATAAGAAGAGCACAGGTTTAGACCAGCATTATTTTACTTTCCACCCATTAAAATCAATGGTGGCAGATTAGGCTAGTATTAGCCCTGTTTGTACATTTAATAATAAGGTCTATTAATTTCCTTTGAGATGAGTTTTTTTTTAAAAACTTGTAGCATAACTATGTGATATGAAGACATGCCGAGAAGACATTTGCAGGGGATAATATAGAAAAAAGTATAAAAAGCAACTAGTCATCATAAAAATTTGGATTTAACTTTCATTCAACCTGAACATTGAGCTTGGAATTGTCACTCATTAGGGTTCCTAGTTATCGAAGCCTGACGTAGTTGTAAGCAAGTGTATGCTTATGTACCATTGCATTTACCATACACTAAATGAATATGGTTTATGAAAGCCCTTGACCTTAACATTTCATGAACCTTATTAATGAGGAATAGACAAAACACTTGGTTTTAGCAAACATTTCTTTAAATAGAAAGCGTAGAAGTTAATAAATGACAGTAAATGAACTCTGAATCAAAAGGTAAGAATCCAAATAAGTTTAATGGGAGTTGACTTCAGATAGCTGTATAAATGGATGTTTGACTCATTCCAGATTCCAACTTATTGTAAACAAAACATCAAGGCGTTCTCTCTATCCGCTCCTTACAAATAAATCTGAAGAGTCCAATCTACAGACATTCATCTAAGTTCCTCATTGTTTATATTACCAACACAATACATTTGTTAAATCTTCAAAATGAAAATATGCCGTCAACTAAATAATTTACTTTTTCAACAGAAAAAAAACTCTGGTGTATATAAACAACAAATGTATAAACATGAAGAATTCAAAAAACCCATCAATGCTGGTTTACTTTCCAGCAAAACAATGTAGACGTCTTTATATAAACTAAGAGTTAACCAACAGGGTTCCAACTCCATTTTAGCAATATCAAACACTGTACAAATATACATAGAACAGTCTTATAAACTTTCAAGAAGGATTTGTACATGAAGGTGTAGCCTTATCTGGTTTGTCAGAAGTTTATTTTAGATAACTGCAGCAGTTTGCAACAGGTAAATACTTCTATCTATACATTGCAACAGATGCTTTGCAGAGTTGCAGCACCAAAATTCAGCTACCTCACTGGAGATTTTACAATAAAAACATATCCAGTTAACTAGCAGAATTTGATCTCCACATGGTTGAGTTAATTGTTTTATTGAATAGAAATGCCATTACTTTGAAGGAATGCTGGGACGTAAACTGAGATTACAGCAGACCTTGAACTCCCAGGTGACAACAAACACTTGGTCAAATTACAAAAAAAACGGTATCAATGGGTAAATTTAGAATGAATTTATATCAACACAAGTAGTAGGCAGAAGTAATCCCCTTAATTTAAAATCTTCAAACTGATTGCTTACAGTAGAAATAAAAAGGGATTTGCTAAAGCTGAACAAACACAGAAAATGCTGGAATTCTGCAACTTGATCAAAAGCAGAGAAAGGACCTGTTTAAAAGGTAAAAAAAATTAGATGTGATCCTTCATCCCTGAAATATTAACCTAGTATTATCTCTTTTAGATGCTGATTGGCAGGCAGACTGAGCCTTAAAACATTTTTATTTAATAACTGTGATTTTATTAACAGTTTGTAATAGATTGAGAAAGGCACCATTGTGGTTGCTCTATTGTATTGTCTAATGTAATTGCTTTCTAACTTAGTTAAGTTTATTACTTATCATTTTATTTATTTAACAATTTACAAAAGCCTGCTGATTTTGGTGAACTAATTTAATTCTGAAAAGCTGCATTGATAAATGAATTTCAAATTTAGGGCTAAACCCAATGAAGTCTAGAAATGTGAATTTTGGCATATAACAGTCTTGGTGTGCCACATACAATCCCTTTTCTTGTTTGGTGTGAGAACGCACTGAGTACTTTCAGTTTCCTGTATCATGTATAGATGGCCAAATTAAATGCATTAGTAGCAGAGTATGGACTGGAGAAGATGTGCTAAATAGTAGCTATTGGTGTATCTCAAACCCTTTTCAAACTACTCTGTAAAGGCATTTACATTTATTACTTACTGACAATACTATATGTTTCTTCGCTGATTAAAACTACATTTCTGACATGAACATACTGTTTAAATTTTGCACTGAAAGTTGTTTGTCGCTTATTTTATTTAGAATTAAGTTTAAAAAAAACCTGACCAAACATCTGAAATCAGTATTGCCAAGACACCTACTCTTTGCCAACTAGTTTAATGATGTGCCCTATAACCTCAAAAGGCAAATGCAGCCCAGTTTAATACAGTTGAAATGCATCACTTATAACAAAGCAACACCTCCTTAGTACTGCACAGTTCAAGTTTAGATTATGTGGTCAAATCTAAGATTTGACATATATTCCAAGTTTAAAGCAAAATTATTGCTAATGAGCCAGGCTTTTGTTTAAATTATTTTCACTGTTGGTTGAAACTTAACAAGGTGGGCAATACTTAAAGACTGTTTAGTGTTGGTGCTTACCCCAGGTCAATTTTTCTGGCTGTTGGAGCTGGGGGTTGAACACTGTGTGCTAATCTTACATCTTTTGACTTTCTGATTGTATAGTAGAAAACAGTGAACCATTCAGAATTACTGAAACTGAACCCCAACACCAAACAGTAAAAATATTCTCAGCTAAATAAAACCAAGCATAGGCATTCTTCACATCATGTAATTTACAAGAAAACTGTGAATTAAAGACTAAATTACTTTTTTTCTCCAACAACAGGGTTTTCTTCCTTTGCTTAGTGATTCGGTCAAAATGAGCAATGTGCTTTTTTTGTGCTTATGTATATTCAAAAGCTCATGGAGCAACTTAGTTTCATAGTTCTCAAAATAAAAGCACAAATATTTGCTTAAACTTCTCTTAAATAAACTATCATTTGTAACAAAATACTCATATCAAATCCGGCTCTGACTGAAGGTAGGATTTAGTATCAAATGGGTAAATGGCACCACTGATTTGTGGAATTAAACACTCAAGTTATTTTCATTTAAGTTTCAGGCAAAGGAAAGAAATAGTTCACTGCTAATGAAGTTGGGCTCCTGCATGACATTAGTTGAGGACCACTGTACATAATGAATCATATACTGTAAATATTATAGCACCACCTACAGGAAAAAAATGATGTGTTCAGTACTTCGCATTGGGAACATTTCTATACACCATGCCCGCAGCAGAGTTAGGAAATAGCAGTGTACTCAAGAGGCTGAAATTTGTTTGGCAGTGATGGTTTTAGAATGGGACCAGATTCTATGAATCAGGCAGCAAATAAGCTGCTGCTGGGGCTCCCATCAGAAGGTCAGAAGCTCTTTAGTCCAAGTAGCGTCACTGGGGGTGGTGGCTACTGCTGGAGACCCCTTTTTGAGCTACAGTGTGTCTGATCACGAAGGTCCACGTTTCTGAGCCCAGAGAGTTTGTTTAGTAAAACACCAGTGGCAGTGGTAAGATGCCCTTAATTGGTCACTGGGCAGGAAAGCCCTCTTCCATTTTCTTGCTGTTCACAGAATTCAATGGCCTTGGGTAGACAATGGATACTCCATCATCTTCCTCCCTCCTATTGGAGTTCCCTCATTAGTCAACTGCCTTCCCCTGAGGATTAAAGGGTTTACAATAAAGACAAAGAAATAACTGAACCCAAAATAGGGAAGGTGGTGAGGGGTAGGTTGACAGACAGGGTGGAGGGAGAAGTGTGGGTTACAGAAATAAAATGCAGAGAAAATGTAGAAGAAACAGGAGAGAGGAGGTGAGGAAGTGAACAGATAGTTGTTAAGGAGACAGAAAAAATAGAATAGAAAGCAGAGAGGCAGGAAAGTAGGTTGTTGGCCAAGGCATTGCTTATTTTGGGTAGAGAGGAGTGGAAGTTTGAGAGAGACCAGAATAATCCTTAAGGGGGAAGCAGTTCTCTTCCTTTACTGCTCAAATGTAGATTAGGAATATGAAGCCAATCGATGTTCAAAATGCTAGGTGAGGAAATTTTGTGGATCTAGTGTTCTTCATTAAGACAAGAAAGATTTGCTCATGCATCAATTCTACACAGTTGGGGGGAAGAGATCTTTGGCAAATGGAATGTCAACAACACTCATTTGGTAAAGGGTTTTAATTGCTAAATATTCCAAAGGTGGTGTAGGAAGAGGAACAACCGGAGTTCTTGGCCAATATTGTACTGTGGTGGACATGTGAGGAACAAATATGGTGGCAGATGTGGTAACCTGTCCCAGGTTGGGAATATGGTACTTGCTCTTCTAATTCATGGATGGTACTAAGAGAGCTGGGGTTGTAAAGTTGTACTCTTGCAAGTACAATGGAGAGCTCATTGTGTTTCATGGAGATCTTCATTCTCTTAGTATTTGCCACATGCCAATGTCTGATAGGGCACATGTTCTGAGATGCAGAAGTTAGTGGCATGTGATCACATTATTAACACTGGGGGATTTTGGGAGAGTGCTGTCCTTAGTATGGAAGCTGTCCATTTGTGACTCAGCAATTCAGCAGAATAATGTTTAAGGAAAAACTTCACACGTTTTGACCCACAAAGGAACAGAAACACTCATGGTACTTTCATTCAAGTTTCAGGCAGTGGAAAATGACTGCAAGTTGGGTTGGGTTTTTGCATAATATTAATTTGACCCACAACACCACCTTCAGGATTAGTATAAACAGTATGTTACAATCATTTGGCTTCTACAAAAGGATGAGATTAAATAAGATTATACTGTACAGTGATATAAGAAGGCAAAGACTTATATTGCTTGATTGTATATCTGTTGAGGGACTGTTGCATCTCAGAACATGTTCCCTGTCTGCATGGTGTATCTTCACCTGCACAGAATCTTAAAAAAACAACTGTACTGAGCAGCAGTGCAAGGCTATATATTTTTAGCTAAGTTTGCTACTAACAGCGAACTGCAAAATCATGCAATATGCTACACAGTTGATATCTTTTTCCAAGAAATGTGCTACACCATTGTCAAACATGTAACAGAGCTGAGGTAATAATGGTGCAGAACTGCAAATGGAACTTCTGAGCATTTAAAGTTGGCAAAATGAATGCCCAATATTTACAATCTCATTACACCTACTGAACGCAATATGCCATAGTAAAGGAACACTTCATAGCCAGCATGAGTGAACAAAGCCATGCTCACTTAAATTAAATTTTGGGAACATACAGTCAGAAGAATCCAGTGGTCAGAGAGATAATTCTTTAAATCTGATTTTACTCTGAGTTGGAGTTACCCAACATTTGACATGAAGCCCAGGCAGTTAGGTTACCTCATTTCAATCTGACTCCTGAGTTAAAATGCCATTTCTGAAGATTTGCACATCCCAACTGCTTCATATTAATGTGAAAACAGCACGAGTACCCTTTGGATTCAGATTATTCTCTTCTGATGCGCAATTTAAATTGAGGTTTGGTTGATGGGCAGGTTCAAAATAAAGCTTTTAGATTCTGGCTCAAAATCCCAATTTATGTGGCAAAAATTGAATATATGTCACCCTAGGTTGTCTTTGCAATATAGCTGAAGGAGTGAAGATCAATATTAGTAGTTTAGAATCTGAACTGCACATTTCTTGTTTGTATTACTTTACTTAATGTAAGTGCTTTCATGTCTTGCACATGTCATTAGGTCCCCTATCTTGTTGTGGCTTTGAATTAAATTTATGTTACTCCAGCAGGACAGCAAGTCAGTGATAAGTGCAACTCAACAAGCATTCAAAGTAAAGTGCATCATCACAGAGAGTAGTATAAATGTGTAATGTGGGCTCAAATTTATCTGTATCCAACAAAACCTCCATTTGGCTTTTACTTCAATTAACATCATGCATACCAGTATTCAATTTTCATGTAACCAACCTAATTTGATTGGTTTTAAACTGGAAAATAAATTTTGATCATGAAAATATAAGCACCAACAAAACTTACAAATATGACAGAAAAGTTGGAATTCCTACTTATAGGATACACATTCTGGATCCAATTTCTAGATATCGCTTGAGATAAACTGTTTACTTTGTGAACAAGTTTATTAAAATATCCTCTGTCAGTGTGAAATGCCAAACTTAGGAATGAATGTGTGTTCAGTTAACACACTGAAGCGTTTCCATTTAGATATTTATGTCTCAGATCTTTCAGGCACTGGTGATATAATTCTGGTGAATTCCTGTTTCTTGATCTTGAAAAAATGTTACCGAATTCATAGTTAATGAAAATCAATACCATTTTGTTCTCTTAGTATGCAAGTCAGATACAAATTATTTTTTAAAAAAGGTACACATGCACAACTGTGTTTCTTTTAACACAGAAGAGCGCATTGTGTTGTAAAGTTTGGACACAAGTTTAATCTATACTCTGCCGAATGCCTGATCTCAGATTCATTAATATGCAGAGCTATCATTTAATCAAGGCATCTACTTGAAGAGTCCATGAAGAAGAGTGGGAGCAGAAATCAGAAATACACTTCTTCATTAGATTTTTCTGCTGTCTCTTTGCAACTGTCTGAAAATTCAGTTCTTAAATGCCTGTGAATAGACCACCAGCCTTTGCTCTCAACGGAAACTAGTGTTGTGTAAGATAGTGAGTGAATTGGGTAGAAAGGAAGTTATATACTTTATTTAAAAAGCGAATAAAGGATAAATGATAACCAAAACTTGGGAACAGGAATAAATATTGATTATTTCACAAGATATCGGTTAATCCAGTACTAATTGTTTTTCATGGTTAGTGGATCACAAACTTAGGTGCACTCAACATAATTAGTTGGGTAGAAAATATTTTAATGAACCTAGTTAAAGTATTTTTAACACTTCCTTTAAACATCCCAGCAATCCTTATTCTGTTGCACTAAAAGGTCAGAATTGACCTTTTTTTTCTGTTCTGTTTGGGTGGCTGGTCCATGCCTGATTTGAAACAACAGAAGTAGTGGCTGGCTTACTGTACACACCTGCTAGTACCCATTCAACTCATTCCTTATTATTCAAAATGGGAATAGTTTGTCGATCAGTCATGATTTTCGTTCACCTCGTGAATGTAATAACTTTCTCACAGTCTTCAGTTAATAGTTCCACCGTAGAACCAAGGAGGTCCAACAACTCAGGCACACATCGTACCAGTTCCAGAGACATCCTGCCATCAAGGGAGCAGAACTGAAGGTTCCCAAGTTGGAAATGGACCTGGCTTGTGGACACCTGTTTGTAAAATTCTACCTCTGTAATGGTAGCTATTTCAAAGTGAGGAAAGCGAGATTGGAAAATCCTGACTGACATTTTCAGTCTTCGAAGAACTTCGGCTAACACTAGCCAATTGCAAGGGCTGTACAAACAAAAACAAATACTGAATAAAGTATAATTTACAACTGTGCAGGATAGCCATATCAAATGGTCCAAAACTCTACAGTGCCATTCCATAGAATTAACACTAAATTATATGTAAACAATTTAACTTTCATTTATCTTACAAATCAACAAGAAGACGTATTTTTGGAAGTTCCTCTTAGTTACCCCTTGAATTATATTCAGCAATGTAATGGACTAAAGTAATGGATGGTAAATCATGATCTAGAAATATGCAATGTTTTGATATGTTCCCGAGATGCGGCAGTGCAATTTTTAAACCCATGGTAAAAACAGGTTAATCAAACAAACAAAGTCTGTTTCTGAATTCACAAAATGATCATTTTGTTACACAGCCGATACAACAACATGCAGTATTTTTACTCTAACAATCCTATTCAGAAAACTGTAGTCAGAGACTGTACGGAGAAACCAAATAAGAAGGCAAGTTTTATCCCCCAGCCCCGGCCTCCCCAAATTTAGCAGAAATGGTGCAGGCAGGGTATTAGATGGTAGAGGGGGAAGTCAGAATAAAGTGCGCATCTCCTTTGTTCACTACACATTCCTTTCCTCTCGTTTTAACACCTGAATTCAGGCAAGTGAAAGGTGCTTCCAGTAGAGTAGTGGGAACTGATTTAACTGACAAAGTTGTATCCCAACAATGTAGTTGTGATCACACACAACATTTTAAATGCAATCTCAATTAAAACCTACAGTATTCAATTAGACAACTGGGTGGGATGATGCAGAGATGCTTCAGTAGGATTTGGACAAGTTGAGTTAGTAGGCAAATGCAAGACAGATAAAGAATAATGTGGATAAATATGAAGCTACCCATGTTGGTACCAAAAACAGGAAGGCACATTATTATCTAAATGGTGATAAATTGGGAAAGAGGTAGCTGCTGTGAGACCTGGGTGTCCATGTACCTCAGTCAGTGAAAGTAAGCATACAGGTGCAGCAGGTGGTCAAGAAGGCAAATGGTATGGTGGCCTTCATAGCAAGAGGATTTGAGTAGAGGAGAATGGAAGATTTGTTGCAATGTTACGTGGTCTTGGTGAAACTACATTTCGAGTATTGTGCGCAGTTTGATCTCATTATCTGATAAAGGATGTTCTGGCTGTGAAAGTGTAACAAAGGTTTCACTGTATGATTCCTTAGGATGGCAGGACTGATGCATGATGAGAGAATGGATAAATAAAGCTATATCTACTGGAGTTCAGAAGAAATAGGGAGGATCTCATAGAAACGTATAAAATTGCAGCAGGACTAGACAGGATAAATACAAAATGTTCCTGATGACCATAGAGTCCAAAATCAGGGGTCAAAGTCTAAGGATATTTGGTACACCATTTAGGACTCAGATGAGGAGAAATTTCTTCATCCAGAGTCATGAACCTGTGGAATTCTCTGCCAGAGCAGTTGAGGTCAAAACATTAAGTGTTTTCAAGAAGGAATTAGATATAATTCTTAGGGGCTAAAGAGATCAAAGGGTATGGGGAGAAAGTGGGAACAAGGTACTCAGTTAGATGAAAGCCATGATCATATTAATAGTGGTGTAGGCTCAAAGGGCTGAATGGCTTAATGCTGCTCCTATTTTCTATTTTTTTTAAAATATAGCCTATGATAGGCTGGATCCTGGCCTCAAGGTGGAAAGTTTTTATTTCATCTTTTAAGGGTTCCTGGTGGGTCAGAAAGAGTACATGGAAACCCTGGTGCTTACCTATCCCAGGATGTACATCCCCAACAAATCCTAAACCTAAGCAGGCTTGTCCACCCTTTCAGAACTGTCCCAATGACGAAAGATCAATGCTTAAATCCAAAGTACACCAAATTTGACATGTCAATGGATTAAATCCCCAACATTATATTCTGAATTATGTTGAATTAGAATTCCACTCTTACCCATGAGAAAGGCAAGCTTGTATATTGTAACATGTAAGAAGAGGTTTGTCTGAAAACTCAAATGCAAAATAATTGGTATCATCATCTTCCTCTTCATCAAGGCCAGGAGGGTTTGCCAAAATGTTACAAGAAGTTTCCATGTCCTGTTCTGAAAAGTTCAATAAAATTATTATGTCAAGACAATTATATACAAGAGGCTTTACAAGTAACCCACAAAACTCCATAATTATTTGAATAGCCAAATATTATTTCCTGAGTTAACGAATGAATGCAATTTAGAAGGCAATTCAGGGTAGCCGCTCTTAGGTCTTTCTCTCATCTCTTATGACATAGTTCGTCGGATTTGTTTTCAAAAGATTGCATTACTTTTTAGTGGTGTAAAAGCTACTGAAATCCTTATTAAAGCAATGGGATTGGATAGGTAGCTCACTAAAAAGAAAGTAGAGCATGTTAGAAAGTTAATGTCAAAATGGGAATTAGTGTTAAGAAGAGTTCCTCAGGATTGAGTACTTGGTCCCCCTGTTGCTAACTACATCAATTTGGTTGACATACAAAATTAAGATTAGCTGTGACAACATTGGCGCCAATAGTTCAAAGAGGGTTGCTGAGTGAAGTATCAGAGGGGTCATTGGTAATTCTAATATATATTAATTATCTGGATATTGCAAACAAATATAAGTTGATAAAACAATGCAAAGAAATGTAGCAAAGGATTTAGGTTGTAACAACAAATCACAATTAATTATTATTACTAATAACATGAATCACCTGGGGTATGTGTGTACAAATCACTGAAGGTGGCAGTTTAGATTGAAAAAGATATTAAAAAGGAATATGATAATCTGGGTTTTATAAATAGAGGCACACAGTACAAAAGCAAGGAAGTTATGATTAGCTTTATGAAATATTTGTATAGCCTTAACAGGAACAGTGTTCAATTCTGGGCACCTTTGGTAGAATATGAACACTTTAGAAAGTGTGCAGAATAGATTTTGAGAATGATTCCAGGGATGAAGGAGTTCAGTTAGGGGATTTTCTTGAAGAAGCTACCGTTGTTCTCTTTAGAAAAATTAAGAGATTTGATAGAAGTGTTGAAGCAGCATAAATAGCAAGCGACAGATAGACAAAGTGATCCCACAAACCAAAAGATCAGATCCAAGCTCTGCAGTCCTGCTACAGCCGATTGTGAATAGTGGAGGACAATAAAAAAAACCTCACTGGAGAGGAGGCTCCACAAATATCTCCAACCTCAATGAGGGAAGAACCCACCCCATCAATGCAAAAGATAACGTTGAAGCATTCAGAACACCCTTCAGCCAGATGTGCCAAGTGAATGCTCTATCTTGGCTTCCTCCAGAGGTCCCCAACATCACACGTGCTAGTCTTAGTGAATTCGGTTCACTACACTTGACATGAATAAACAGTTGAAGGCAGTGGATATTGCAACATTCTGATAATATTCTGCACTTCAGAACTTGCCATATCCCTAGCCAAGCTGTTCAAATATAGCTACAGCACTGACTTGATAGATTACATGCTGATTTTTGCAGTTTTTAATGTAGTGGGTAATCACGGAGACACTGCCACCCAAGGTTGCAGATGTTGTTTGACACCAGAACATTTTTTCATTTTGCATAATAAACTTAACTATATATCTAATACAGTTAGAAAGATCTTAACAAAAGAAGCAAATCGAAATATCAACCTAGTTCCCAATACTATCCTTTTAGATACTCAATTCCACAGAAATAGCACTCCTATCTCAACTCTTCAAATTGTTTTAATTAATTGAGTGTTTCCAATTTCTTTTCCTTGGAATGCTGAGACAATTTTATGACTTGAGTTTGCTTGCTTGAACCACTTGCAATTCTGATGGCCTAAACTTTCTCAGTTCCACAAGCTCAAAGATTTCTACACAAGCACTCTCAACTTGGAAGCTCCATGAACTAACAAAATTATAGCTAGGGTGGCTGGTTCCCCTGAACTAAAGCTGGATTCCCCTGCCTAGGCAAAAAAAGTCTGTCTTCCCTTCTGAATTATAGTCAAAAATGGAATTAGTAGTCTCAGTTTAGTTTCTAAACTCAGCAGTATAAACGTTTGATCCATTAATATCATGGGTATACTGCCTGCACTTGAATACAGTTAGATGCCTCCTTGGAAATATTGTATTTGGGTCACTGCTTCTAAAGATTTCTGACATTTTTTTTAAAACACCATTCATAGAAGTGACTAAAATCCATCTGTCTCTAATTTAAAATCCAAATACAGCTACATCACATAGACATACCTACTTCACCAACACATGGTGTACACAGAAGGGCACACGCCCACCTTACTCTGACAATCCAACATTGCCTTTGCAGTGTGCTTTCTATTCATTGGGGCAGTCTCATCACCTGGCAGGATTATGCATGCTTATCATGCTCATGTATCCACTGCCATCAAACTCAACATTCTTGTTCTCTCTGTGCAGGTCGTGGTCGTGCACACAGGAAGGAGACGACTCTGATTGGCAGAGGACCACCTGATCTCTGGATCCTCACCATATTCAAGGAAGGTGTGGTCCAACTGATGATGAAGCTCAATATCAGTCCTAACCTGATGGAGAGACTGGATTGACAGAAGCTAGTATGCACCACTATTGTCTGTTCTTCTCAGAGGTGCAGCCATTCTCATACATTCCTCTACATATGGATTGTGCTTCTTCACTGATTAATTCTTAATCTTCACTTCCACAGCTATAAACAGTCAACAGACATTGAAATGAAATGTGCAAAGCAGATATCCAGCACCACCTCCATTGAGGATAGGGCCAGGGTACCACAGGGAGCCCTTCGGCAAAGAATTCATCTTCAATCTCCACCAGTACAGAGACAGTCACAGTGGTGGATCCACAGCTACAGTAGGCTTGGGAACATAGTCCAGTGAGCATATCACAGATACATGTCCACAGCTAGTGGGGGAATAAAATCACCCGAGTTCTCTGGACGGCCAGAGACCAGCTACCTGGTCAGCCTCATGCAAAAGATATTCCTCAATACTTGGCAATGGCCGACAGGTTCAATCTTCAGAAACAGGTAAGAAAACCTCAGGCAGAGATGCAAGAGTACTCACTTGACTGGAGGGAAAATTGGGGATTCCATCCAGCTTCTGATTACTCTGGTGGCTCTAGCATGAAAGTGCTTGGATGCCTTCATGGAAAGCAGCCACCTTAGAGATGCAAGTCTAGGAGGCTGCTCATTGGCTACACAGTATGTGCTGTATCTGCATTCTATTGCTCTAGTCATGGGTGCTCAGCATCAGTAGTAAGCCAAGAGGGGGAACAAGGCATCATAACCTCACTCCAGGTGCCCCTTCTCAAGGAGACAGAGTGATGCCGACAAGCACTCACAAGGAGCAGGAAAGACAGACAAGCAACCTAGGAGTTTTATGTCAGGACATTCCAGTGGTGTCCTGCCCATCCATATTATGTCTGCAGTGACACCTTTGTCTGCAGCAGATCAAGCAAAGGACAGTACACTTGTATCTATTAAGAAGACTCTCACAAGCTTAGGACCCTCTAAGGCCTGAGGCCAAAGAAGATGTCTTCCAGAAGTTTTCACAATCACCAGGGTGTGCCAGTCAGCAGACCTCCTCCACCACAACCTCAAATATCAGGCGAACGTAGTGGTAGGCGAAAGAAATCCTGTTGACGGCCCCTTGGTGCCACAGGTGTTTGACTGATACAAATAAATCTCACACAACTAAATATACATGCACTTATATTGTTCTAAAGTTTCATGTAATCTAATTTCCCACTAACAGTCTGCATGGTTGTCTAAAGTGAAAACAGTGTAGAATCCTTCCTCATTACAAGGAGATGCAGTCTTTCAGGGCACCTTTCAATGTTTCACTGCATTAGCAATACGTACCTCTGAGAACCATGGAGCTAGCATTTGGACAGTGGAACGAAAGCTCCGAATGTTCCATTCAGGGACACACAATTTGTCTCATGAATTCATCAGCAGAATATAGAACCAGAGACTATGACCCTATGAGCCTCACACATGGGAAAGTCATGCAAAGATGTGAGTGAAACTTAGAGGTGAAAAAGCCAATGGTCTTCTCTAAGTCTGCAATTTCTATAGTCAGGATAGGCACTCTCGATGAATGAGGGAAGCTAAGCTCATCTGAGGTGACACTCATAATTTCTTCTTGTTGGGGAGAGAGTGCATAGTGAGGAAATGTTAGCATTTGTATCCATCATGATACTGGAACAGATGCGAGTATGAGGACCCGGGATAAGCAATCAGCGTCACCTAAAAGGTGCGATGAGATGAGGTTCTTACAATAAACAGTTAAAGATAAAGATAAATTCACTGTGGCTGACTGGAATTGGTCCTCAGTGCAATAGAGTTTGATGAATTTTGGTTGAGAAGTTAGGGTCTTTTCTATTCTTACGTTTAACATAGTATACAAATTGGTTATGAAGCTAATAAATTATACAAAAAGTAACATAAATAAGTAAATAATAAAATTTAAAAATTGATTAAAACAGTAAGGGTGGCAGGACAGTGACATGTCACAGTTATAAAATGTAAGAGTTCCGGGATGTCAGTTTGCTCCAGACCAAACACATCTATGGCAAACAGTTTGAAGTTTGACCAGTTTCAGCTCAGAGTTTATCAACAAGAGGGTGAATTATAGACACTGCAATGCAACAGGTTGGGGAAGTTACCTGGAGGTAATCACACTTCTTGGGTTGGTTCATCTGATTTGGACAGTGTCCATCAACAGGAAAGTGTGATTGTAAGTGAGGCAGGTAAAGGAATCTAAAAGTTGGGAGTGGAAAATCTTCATACTTTGCGTATGTCCAACACGTTTTGAGTTTCTTTCAGTTTGTTTAGATGGGAGTCAGGTCTTCAGGGGCGAGAGGCTGACTAATTTGTTTATCACAATTGGAAAACTATGGAGGTATTAGTGATAGACAGCATGGCTTTGTGCAGGAAAGGCTGTGTCTTATAAACTTTGACACAAACTGGAGTTTTTTGGGTAAGTGACACAAGATGATTGATGAGGGCAGGGCGGTAGATATATCGACTTTAGCAAGGTCTTTGACAAGGTCCCTCATGGAAAGATGATGCAAAAGATGAAGAATATGGGATCCACAGTGAGCTGCTAAGATGGATACAGAATTGGCTCAGCCATAAAAGATGGAGAGTAGCGGTGGAAGGGTGTTTTTCAGATTGGAGATCTGTGCCCAGTGGTATACTGCAGGGATCAGTGCTGGCACCTCTGTTTTTGTAATATATATAAATAATTTGGAGGAGAATATAGGTGGCCTGATTACTAAGTATGTGGATGACATGAAGATTGTAGGAGCTATAGGCAGTAAGGACGATTGCGAAAGGATACAGCAGGATATAGATAGGATGGAGAGGAGAAATGGCAGATGGAGTTTAATCCAGACAAATGTAAGGTGATGCATTTTAGAGGATCTAATGCAGGAGATGGGTATACAGCAAATGGTAGAACTCTTAGTAGCATCAACATACAGAGGGATCTAGATGTACAGGTCCAAAGTTATCGGAAAATGGCAACATAAGTGGATAAAGTGGTCAAGAATGCATATGGCATGCTTGCCTTCATTGGTTGGGCAGAGTATAAAAATTGGCAAGTCATGTTGCAGCTGTATAAAACTTTGGTTAGGCAACATTGGGAATATTTTGTACAGTTCGGGTGGCCAGACTACCAGAAAGATGTTTAAGGTGTTGGAGAGTTGCAGTAACAGTTTACCAAGACGTTGTCTGGTTTGGAGTGTATTAGCTATGAGAGAGATTGGAGAAACTTGGTTTGTTTTCACTTGAACATTGAAGGATGAGCGACGGCCTGATAAATGTTTACAAAAGTATGAGAGACACAGATAGAATGGATACTCATAAGTCTTTTTCCCAGAGTAGAAATGTCAATTACTAGGGGACATAGATTTAAGGTTAAAAAGGGGTAAGTTTAAAGGAGATGTGAGAAACATTTTTTGTTTAAACACAGAGGATGCTAAGCGCACTGCCAGAGGAGGTGGTGAAGGCAGATATAACAGCATTGTTTAAAGACATCTTGAAAGATATATGAATAGCCACGGACTAGAGGAATACAGACAGTGTAGAGACAAAAGGTTTTTAGTTTAGAAAGGCATCATGTGTAGTTGCTGCCTTGGTGGGCCAAAGGGCTGTATTATTCTTAAATCATGAAGACATGGTACAGGAAGCCCTTCAACAGGCAGTGTAAGAAGGAATGTAGTGGTAGTAGGGGACAGTATTGTGAAGAGATTTACACTATTTCCTGCATCAAAGAGTATGAGTCGAGAAGGCTCTATTGCCGACCCAGTACCAGGGTTCAGGAAATCTTCTGACTACTGGACAGGAATGTGCAATGAGAGGGGTAAGATCTAATTGCTGTAATCTATGTAGGCACAAAGGACACTGGCAGGACAAAGAAGGACGTTCTTTATTGTCAGTATGAGGAGCTAGTCAACAAATTAAGAAGCAAAATCTCAAAGATCAAATTCTCTGCATATTCTGGACCTGACCAGAGAAAATATATTACCCCTGCTATTTTGTAATCAGAGAGAATTAATTCACAATTTCATAGTAAAGGTGCCACCAGATAGCAGCTACCCTAATAGGGTTGAAAAAAATACAGGAAGAGTAAAAAAAAAAGTGTATTATCTAAATGGTAAGAGTCTGCAGAGTTCTGCGATAGATAAGGATCCGAGCGTCTTTGTGCATGAATCATAAAACATTAGCATGCAAGTTCAGCAAGTTATCAGGAAAATTAATAGAATCTTAACATTTATTGTAAGGTGAACTAAATATAAAAGTAGGGATGATATAGAGAGCACAGGTGAGACCACATCTGTAGTACGTGCACGCATTTGGTCACCTTATAGAGTGATGCATTGGAGCAGTTCAGAGACTTTTTACTAGGCTAATACCCGGAATGGGCGTACAGGACGTGATTGGGGGTGGGAATGGTCTCACTGGAAAAGACTGGACAGGCTAGAGTTGCATCCGCTGGTGTTTAGAAAAAATACTTTTCTCAGAGGGCTATAAGTCTTTGGGACTCTCTTTCGGAAGAGGTGATGGAAGCAGAGACCTTGGATATTTTAGGGCAAAGATGGATAGATTCTTGTTAAGCAAGAGGATGAAAAATTATCAGGATTTGAGGTTATAATCAGATCAACCATGAGCTTGTGGACTGGTAGAGCAGGCTCAAGGGGGTGATTAGCCTACTCCTACTCATTGTTCTTACATTTGTATGAAATCACTCACCAAAGATGTGTAGCCACTAGAACAGTATAGTATAGGACAGTAATAGTTGACTGGTCTTAGGGAGACAGAATGGGAGTAATGATATTAAGCAGGAGGGCATAGACCTGGAAGCCCTCCCCTAAGTGAATGTTTCCTGGTCAACATTGCCTTTAATGGATGACAGCATACTGTTAACAGATAGCATAAAAGTCCCTCAACTAAATTCATGCATCAAACTTATCACATCATTAGCGTATCTAAAAATAATGTTTCTTTTATTGCAAATAGTAGTTCAAAATGACAAGCTCCTCATGCAGCCGCCACCTAACTGGTCCATAACAGACAGAATGGTATAATAAACATATTTCTTGTAGCTGAGTCCCCAGATGGGGATAGCTCTGAAGTATCATGTACCTCTCGCTGCAAGATATTCTGTCTCAGGTGTATGGATTTGCACTGTCTGATAGGTCCAGGGGCCCAGAGCCAGTCCCACAGCAGGCCCATTGATGGACGCACCCGGCTGCCACTTTTTGCATATTATGTTTAATGCATTTTGGTTTCAATGGGCATGCCTTGTACGGTTTACTGAGTTGCTCAAATAAACTAAATCAGTTGTGAAGTGCAATTAACTTTGCTTAATGTTACTTGTATAATGTGTAGTACTAGATTTTCAGACTTCTGTAACAATCATTTACCAGGGGTTAGCTGCGTACAAGCAATAAAATTTGAATAAAATGATGTACATTAGACTAGGTTTTGCAATCAGTTTCATTCTAATGCCAGTGTTTATTTTAGACAGGGTAATACCAATTGTGAACTAACACGAAGTAGAAAATCCAGGTCATAGTAATGTTGGATTATAACAAATATGTATCCTAAGTGCATTCAACTGGATTGTTATCTAGCTCAATTTGTTGACAATAGACCTCAAATCTCAAAATTTCATAATGTGAAACGAGTAGGCTCCAAAACTGGGCATTCTTTTTTTATGACTGATGTAGAGAATGGGCTTAAATGAGCCAATGTGCCTTTTGTTTCTTATTCTTTAGTTATAATAGCTATAAAATTTTCGTACTCACCACATGCAGAGCTTCCATAAAATTCCCAGTGAAGGGCTGGATCATCCTCACTCCGGCCCCTCAGGTCAGTAAAATATTCTACAAAAACACAATTGAAAATTGAAAATGTACCTATTATTATAAAAAACACACTTAATAAATTATAATTTTTTCAGTACATTGTATTAAAGTCATAGTATTCAAAGGCATCTATTGTTAATAGTTTGCCCAAGATTACAAATTCATTGTATCAACAGTAGTAAGCTCCTATCTGAAATTCTACATAAGTCTCAAGCACAAAGTGAACAGTAGCAAGTTAACCACCTGTTACACATAGCCAATTTTCCTTTCCATTTCTCCTCAGTTAACCTTTTGGTCTCCTAACATGCTTCTTTTTTAAGGTCTTTTGAAATGGAACCATATTGTTACATTGGCAAATCTGACTGACAATGACATAAATGACCAACATTCTAGCCAGTGACATCCACATCCCATGAGTGTGCAACATCACGAATTTTGTTTTAAGAGATAAATGGTGAACTCAGGCACTGGGAAAACTTCCCCCTTGTACTATATACTATGCTATATTTACTATCACCCAAGAAATTAATTTTACTGCTTTAGGTTAAAGACAGCACCTTTGCAGCACTTATTCACTGCTGTAGGAGACTGTCATCATAAATTAGGCATTCAAATCCATGGAATGGTCCTCTGACTCACAATTTTCATCTTAGAAGACAGTGGATAATCAGTGGTATAAACCAATACCTTACAATTATTCATTCTTAAACATGATTCCTTTACTTCTGATATTAATACACTTTCACAAAGACACTCTGCTGGCATTAAACTAAGTGCAACCTTTAACTAATGCTGCACAAATTACAGTTTCAATTTCTTTAAAGATATCCCTTAATAACAAAAATTGAATCTATACTTCATCAAACTACAGAGAATTCAAAGCTACCTTTGTCCATAAAAAATGCAGCTGCCAAATAATTACCTGAACAGTTTGACTGGATGCTTGAGAACAAATATTTCAATTTCACACACCTGCAGTTAACTGAGACAGGACTCCACCCAAGGACAGTGGCAATAAATGATTCGAGCACAGTAAGGAATTGGCATACCAAATATGTAAATTATGTGAAATAGCAGCTAGAGTAAGATCTTTCAGATACCATTCAACAAGATCATGTCAAATTGTCTACCTCAATGCCACCTTCCTCATATTATTCCCATTGCAGGAATGGTGTGTTTTTATTTTTGTGTTTTTAAAATCTGTTGATTGCAAGGAGAAATGAACTGTGTTTAAAAAACACGGGACTTACCAGGACGGCTGCATAATTTTACCTATCGTGAACTCTATTTTCTTTGGCTATAAATTCCTGTAATATGCAGACAACCAGGAGCCAAGGAGTTGTTTACAGGCATTTACATGTGAAGCTGTTCGGTTTTTAGCTAATGAAGCAGGTTGGAACTGGCAGTGAGTCACACAGACACATAGAAAAACACACCAAAAGCTGCCTGTTCTCTACAGTAAAACACTTAGTTTAAACTTGAAGAAAACTAGTTACCTTTTCTGGAGCTGTTGCTGAAAGCTGTGACATTAAATCAGAGATACGTCTCCAAGTGAATCAGCTGTTCTTATTACAAGTCTGTGGAAACTTCCAGGCAAAGATAACTGATCACTAACGGCCTGGCTAGCTGAAGCAGGATCATCTCAATATCCGATTTGGGAGGCCAAGATCACTGAACTGGCTTTCCATTTTTCCAACCTCCACCAAAAATGTATTTTCCCCATTTGTTTGTGTGCATAAGGGGAATTTATAAAGGGATCAGAGTTTCAGTAAGTACTGTTACATGCAAGTTTTTTATACATTTACTTGAGTTATAGTCTATATATAATAAATAATAATTCTGGTTTCGTACAGAAACCTGGCCTGTGCTTTCTATCAGCCATGGCCCGAAAGTCAGGTAAATTGGGGTACAGTGCATACCTTAACAAAAGTTAATATTTGGTACGACTCTGGGAATAGTGAAGTTCAATTTATGGTGTGCTACCCCACAGTGAGTCAAAAAGTTTAGGGGCTCGTGGCCTGGGATATGGACTGGATTTTAATTGGATTGGATTGGAAATCAAGGCAAATATGGTTTGAGAGTGGTTCGGTAAATAATGCAGGTGATGGAAAACTCCCAGGTTCTGTACTGCACTTAAGGTGTAGCATTTGAAACAAAAGATTTCCTGCAGGTAGCAGAATTGTCACTGACAGACTTAAAGGCAATTTCAAAACCAAGGTCAGTTGACTTGGCAGGTAAACTGGAGACAACACTACCTAACCAAGCTAAAAAGGCAGAGATAATTGAGATACAAGGTAGCACTTGGATTTAAAGGAAATACAAAAAGGACCAAGTACTTCAGATCGTGAAATGTCAGAATTGGGCGATATTAACTTACAGATGAAATGGCTGGTTCATGAGGACAGAATGAAAATACTAGAGATGGCACAGAAACATGAAGAACAAGGCAGAAAAAGGTAACAAATGGGAGTTGGAATTAAGAAAGCTGAAAATGGAAATGACAGAATTAGAATTGCGAAGGAAAAGCTATAAGAAAGAACATGATTGTAACCCAACAATGGCACAGTTGAAACAGGAGATGTTAGATGCTGATCAGGCTCTGGTGCAGAGCATCGGAGTCTTAATTGGAAGTCTAGTAAGGAAATATTTAAGTTTGTACAGGCCTTACTGAAATGTGAGGAAAAGTATGTGATGGCATTCTTCATGTCATTTCAGAAAATGGCTAAGAGGATTTGACATTGTCCATGTACAGTAGGTTGACAAGTAAAGCACAGAAAATTTATGTTTCATTGTCAGGGATAATGATGATGCACTGAAGAAAACTACATTGGGTGCATTCAAGGTGATGCCTGAGGCATATAGGCAAAGGTTCCAGAATTTAAGGAAGAAGCCTAGGCAAGCCTATATAATCTGAAAGGATTAAGCAAAGTAATTTTGATAAATGGATAAGAGCATTAGAAAGTGAAATCATGTGCGATGCTCTTAGAGACTTTATTCTCTTCGAGGAATTTAAAAACTCACCACCTTCTGTAATAAGAACGCTTGTTAAGGGCCAAATGGTTGCAGCTGCTAGAAAGGTGGCAATAATGGCTGACGATTACGAGTTAATCCATAAAACTAAGCAAGCCTTTTTTCCATCAATTTCATATATTATAAGGGGAAAGAAACTGGGAATGTAAAAGGAAGGCAAGTAACCAAGGTTTGGAATGGCCCAAGGACTCCTACCAGGTCAGAAAAGGAAGTACTGAGATGGAAGTGAAAATTGGAAGTCAAGGTGTTTTTGTTGTATCAAGAACAGATACATTTGTTTGAAATGCTGCAAGTTGAAAGAGAAACCCAGAGGACTTACTGGAGTTTATAAGACTTAGTTTGAAAAGGAAACCCAGAAAGAAAAGGCCACAGATCAGATTACAGTTTTAACTGCAACTAAGAGACTGGACCAGTCAGTGCTATGAGAGTATAAGGCATTCATAGGGTAGATGAGAGATGGTGAACAGTTTTTATCTCAAGGGAAGATCACCCTTTTTCCTTCAAAGGAAGGATCCAAGCACATAACTATTCTAAAGAGCTACTCAAACTGAAGAAGTAGTAACTGGAGAATAATTTAGTTTTGTCTCCAGAGAGTTAATTAAAAGTCAAAGCATTGGTAAATGGGATAGGTGGAGGCAATTGGAGTGACTTGCTTGGATTAATGGTAGTTGGGATAGTAAAGAAATTACCTATGGATAGAGTAATTTACTTCTAGGGCATTACTTGGCAGAAGTGAAAATCATAGTTTTTCATATAATCACAGGAAGTCCAGCTGAGACTAAAGAAATGGAACAGATGCAGGGCCAGATTCTGGTTATATTTCCATCGCATGTAATGATCAAGCTAAACAAAGTCCATCATCAGAACTCATAGTAATACGCAAGTCAACACTAGAACAATTCAAACTCTTACTTAAGAATGAGGAAAGTTCAAAAGTGATGTAAGGCATGTCTTCATTAACTGAAGCTCAGTCAGGAGATCCAGAGTTAAGTAAGTTAGCAAAGACAGCTCAACTGAAGCTGAGGGTGAAGGGATTCATGTCTAAAGTTTTCCAAGCAATTATCAGCAGTTTGGGGATAAAACAACTGAAGTCAAGCACTAACACAGGAAACTTTAGAGAACATCATAAAACTCTCAAAACTATGATTAAGGAATATTGTCATGATTACTCATAGGATTGGGACAAAGCATTAGACTTTTTATTATTTGCTACCAGAGATTCTCCAAATGAATCTACCGGATTTAGCCCATTTGAATTGTTTTATGGTCATGAGATTAGGGGCCTATTATAACCCATTAAGGAGAAGTTCTGGAATGAGAAAGATGAGTCTTCAATGTTACATCGAGTGTCCATGTTTCTAGAAATACTCACAGGAATGTGTAAGGTTGTACAAGAACATTTAAAAGTTACAGGTGAAAACCAAAGAATGGGTAAATAAGCTTCCATCAACTGGAGTGTTTCAGGTGGGAGATAAAATATTGGTACTGGTGCCATTACAAGACGAACCTCTGAAACTGGAAGTCAGTGGTCCATATAAAGCAGCTAAAAGCGTTAGTAAAGTGATTTTTCTGAAAAATGCTCCTGATCGTAGGAAGAAAAATTAGTTATATTGAATAAACATGCTGTAAAGGTATTATTGTAGGGAAGTGGATAAGGAGAACCAATTGTATCAAGTGGCATAAGTAATAGAATATGATGGAGATAATGAGGTAGGAGAGATGTCAGATGCTGATCAAAATGAACTTCACAGTCCAATTCGACTAGCTAACATGGAAATACTGGGTCAGTTTGACACTGTGCACTCATATTTAGAGACAGGACATGGATCTTGTAAGACTACTGAGAATGTGTGAAATAATCTGTAGAAGTACACCTGAAATGTACTACATTAGCTTGACATGATGTGGATGTAGGAGAGTCAGGACTGATAAAACAACATCCTTATCTGTTCAACCCAGAAAAACAAACTCAAGTAGAAACAAAAATTCAGAAAATGC